TTCCAACCCCAATGGTTCTCTGATTCTATGCCTCTGTGAGAGCACTGAGCACAACTCAGCATCCCAGGCAGCTGCTGGCCCCCTTCCATCACAGCCAAGAGCTAAACCCCCCCCAAACCACAACCCTTGATGCTCAAGAAGCCATTTCTATGTGACAGGTCGACCCCCAAAACTCTGCCTGGGGTGCAGGTCGCAGCCTGGGCCCAGGTGCCCGGGCGTAAATCTCTGGCACCATTGGCACCAATAAACCCATCTGCTGTGGGGCGGGCAAGCTGCTGAGTCTGGGGCCAGCAAAATGGGTCAGTTCTGCTGAGGATCCCTCTGGGTCAGTTCTGCTGAGAATCCCTCTCCCTGTCCCAGGCTGCCCAGATCTGGGTCACCAACAGAGGGACACGCGGGTGGCAGAGCTGGGAGCACACCACGCTCGCTCTCATTCCAGGAGGTTTCATTAACAATTCAATTAGTTTATAAATGAGGGGGCTCAGGGAGGGGGGGAAATGCCCAAGACACCCAGAGCAGTGTCCCACCCAGGCCCAGTGCCCGTGCCCTGCACAGAGCAGCCGGGTTCAGTCGTGGCCCCAGGGCAGGGGCTGCAGCCGTGAGCCACATCCCAGCCACCCCCAGGGAGGGACCCGTGTCCCCATCACTGGTGGCAGCAGATGCTGCTGGGCTGGGGGCAGAGCAGCCCACCCAGCTCCCTTCCCTGGCGATGGAGAAGAGGGATTAGAAGAGATTTATCTGGATAATAATGGAGAGGGAAGCAGCTAAAGTGGGGAGTAGCTGGAGCCAGGCCTGCTGCTGGGAAGCCCCAGCCTGGCTTTTGCCCCAGTTCTTTTGAGGCAGTATGGAATTAGTGCACATCTTGGGTGCTCTCTGCCCACAAAGAGCCAGAGGGGGGTGGCAGCCACCGTGCTGCCTCTGGAGTGGGAGCCCCCAAGTGGCACAGGCACCCCCAGGCACATGTGGGGTCCAGCAGCTATGGGCGAGAGCCCCCTGGGGTTTTGCACACCTCTGTCCCTTAGGGATTCAGAGCCTAAAAGTGGGAGCTAAGTGGGGAGGGGTTCTGCAAGCTGGAGAGCTCCCCAAATCCCCCTGCCACCCCTGAGACTGGCTCACTGCAGCACCTGCTCCTGGGCACTCCACTGCAAACCAAGCCACCCCCAGGGCCCTGTGAGGCCCTGAAACGAGGGCAGCTCCTGGCTGGCGACACGTTTTTGATGGGAACACGACTTTCCAGCTGCAGGAGAAGGGGAAGTCTGGAACTCCCCAGCCAGAGGGGACAGACCTGCTGCCTCCCGGGTAAGAAACCACAAGTTTCATCTCTGTTTGGGGGGACCGCGGGTTTCCTGCGAACAGCCCCTTGCTGCCACCAGGATTCACTTCTCCAAACCGTGCCCCAGATTCCTCCTCCCAGCTCAGTGCTGAGCCCAGCAGAGGTTTTGCTTCTCCTCTCCCCACCTCAGCTCTGAAGCTGAACTCACCCAGACGATGATGGAGAAGAAGGAGAAGGTGATTGCTGCCCGGGCGGCGTCGGCTCCTTGTGACACCCCTTTGCTCATCGTCGTCCGTTGCCACTGGTTTGCTAGGAAGCAGAATGCTACAAACCACAGGAAAGACAAGAAACCTGGAAGAGAACGGAGCTGGTCAGTGCTGTCCCTGCCCTCTGCCCTCATCACAAACACAATGGCTGATGCACGAACACGCTGCCATCAAGGTTTCCAAAAGCCAACCGTCACCTTGGGTGCCTTGGCCTGTGGTGTGGCCCTAAAGGAGCTGTTTTAAAAGAGGCTGATTTGCAATCTCTGAAAAAACAGGGGTGGAAGGAACCTTGTAGGGTCACCCAGTGTGTTGCCAGCCTGAAGTTTGGCTCACCCACCTCTCAAGCTGCTCTCCAAGCCCTGCAGAGGCAGCACACCCTCTCTGGACACGGGCTCCCCACAGACTGTGGGATTCCAGCGTGCTCGCAGGTGCTGAGGCAGCTCCAGCACCCACCACTCCCTCTGCTCCCTGGACACCACCAGCTCTTCCAGACCTTGGTCTGGATCCTGCAGCTCTAACCCAAGAGGAAGCCTGCACCCCTGGGAGCAGCACCAGGCTGCCCAGCCAACACAGGGGAGGGCTTCACAGCTCTGCTGTGATGGGCCACACCTTGGTCCCAGGACACAGCAGAGAGCTTAGGAAAAGGCAAGGAACAACCACCAGGGACACAGACAGGCTGAGATGGAGCCCTGCTCCACACAGGGGGGGATGAGTGACCCTGGATGTCAGGCATCCTGTGAGCACAGTGAATGAGCCCATGCTCACTGTGCTCCGTGCCCAGGGCAGGGATGTGACAGGGCTCCAGTGGCACACAGCTTCCCCTGGGAGCTCTGCTCATCCCTGACGGTGCTCCTGTGCTCTGCCTCTCTGGGCTCTGTGAGACTGAGCACCACCACTGGGGTGATTACTCCTTACTGGAGCCAGAGCTGGCTGGGCAGCACAGAGATGGGGCTCCCCTAATGCTGCCTGGTGCCAGGAGCTCAGAGCAAGCCACAAGTGCACCCTGTGAGAGCAGCGACGCCTTCCAGAGCTGGGGATGGAGCCACACACCCTGGAGCCTTCCACGGGGTCGTTTTGTGGCTCTCCAGCACCCAAGCCCCCCCAGCACGAAGGTCCCCCCCTGCTGATTCTGGGGGTGCTGGGCACTGGCAGGCAGGATGTTGAGCTTCCCAGCTGCCCAGCACCTCCCTGGTGACTGTGAGCACATCAGTATGAGCAGCCAGGGGGCCAGTCCCAGGGGGCTGGGAAGCAGAGGGTGACTGCAGGGAGCAGGGAGCAGGTTCCTCTGCTCCCCCAGCTGTTCCTCAGCACGACACAAAACACACCCATGTACCCACAGCTGGCGTGAGAGCTCCAGGGTGCTCACACCCCAGTGCTGAACTAAATGCAGGCTGAGAAGACACACTCGTCTCCTTCTCCTGCACAACTGGGCCTCAGGCTCCTCAACCAGTGGATGCTTTTGTCTCCCTGGCTGTGCTTGAGCCCTCAAACTGCCCTCCCAGCAACAAGACCTCCAGCCAGGATCACCCAGGCTCTCCTTTTCCAAATCACAAACACGACAGCCCCTTTCTCCTGAACACAGCCCAGGCCTGCCACCAGAACCACCCTGCCACCAGAACCTCCCTGCCACCAGATCCACCCTGCCACCAGAACCACCCTGCCACCAGACCCACCCTGCCACACGACCCC